TAAGTGATCTTCGTAAGACGCTGGGCATTCTATACAGGTTGTTTCTTTTAATGGTTCAAGTTTAATTTGAAATGGCAGCATGAGGACCAGACAAGTGTACTTCAGAGCAGAAAAAAGCACAGTGACAAGCTTACAGCAGATGCCATCCCCTGCCTTAATGAAACTGAAAAGCACTTTCAGGAAACATCTGCCTAAGATGTTTCACTTGAACCAATAAAGACAGGAGTTGCTAAGAAAGGGGAAAGATAAAAGGTAAAATATTCAACATCTGGTGCAGCATAGACGTTTACAACTAGAACTGGTTCTCATATCCTATCAGAAGGACATGGAGTCAACCTGAACAGAACTTGAACAGAACTTGAACCATGAAAACCCAGGGAAGGAGGCCTGCAATTCACCACTGAACCTCCCTGACTGCAGTCAGTAATAAAACACGCGCTTGCTGAACTCTTGGGATCCTCCATGTGTAGCATTGATATACCCAAACCTGCTGGTTATCCTCTCTGTTGTGAGAAGCAGACAATGGCATACCTCCATCGTAAGAGACACAGAAAAATCCAGGTCTAATTTTTGGTGATACACTGTACTAAGAAGCTTGATGAGCTACAGAAGAAAATGCTCGGGCTCGTCAAGAGAAGATAACCCAGGATCAGAGCTGCAGGGTGAGGTGAAGGGATATATAAACAAGAATGCTCCCTGATTCACTTGGTTTGAACAGTGCTGTGAAAAGCAGACTCTAAAGTTCACATCTGTCAGAAAAGAGGGAAATTCCTAGCTATAGTGAGCAGCAAGGTGAATTCTATGTCTATCTCTGTCAATAGGCTGCACATGCACATACTGTACGATTTCTAATCACCCGCTGAAAACATGTTGGCATGAAACGTTTCAGCTCAAACTCCCCTCCCCGCACAAACCCCCAATACTAGAGACAGCAAGCTGTTACACATTTTAGGGACAAAAGTTTGGCATTCTCGCATCAGTCCTCCCCTGCACTGGCAAACACTCCCCCATTGACAAACAGTAATTACTTTTCTCCATGACTACCAGCTCTTCATCACCCTTCTCCGCAGCGATCCATGGAGATGATGGACAGCTCATGGGTCCTTGGTGGCACCACAGACAAGTGGAATTTTTAGAATTAAATTTGTAGAATGACATACTGTCTTGAGTGTCTTTTTTTCCTAAAGCAATCTGAATGGGACTTAATTAAACAAAATCCAATTATATTTTTAGCAATTTTAATTGATGGGATTAGGCAGGCGATCAGAAAACTGGTCCATGTGACATTAACAAGAACAAGATTAAATATATACATTGTAAATTTACTGTATGTTACTATCCAATATTAATGTAAACATTTTTTTACTCCTGTTGCTGACAATAGTTTAATTCATTTAGCTAGCTCTAACTATGTAATACCAGGCCTGCTAATAAAAGCAAACAGTTTTCCTCTCATTTTGTTTAATATGAACGGATCACAAAATTCATTAGAGAGGCTAAAAGCACTACTCATCTACAAAGTGAATAGAATTTGGAGGGTCAGTGGTGAGTCAGAGCCATACTTACTGTATGTACATCCTCATATGAGGGAAAATTGTCACCATCGGTCAATCCAGTGACCTTGAATTATCGTGAGGGAGGTTCGTCCCTGTCATTATTCACTCTGTTCACCGACGAAGCCCCTAGCTGTGTGCTGAATGGAACACAGCAAGGACCTATTGTGGATGTAGGCCTCTGTCACAGTAGAATAACAAGCTGCCACAGCTTGATTAAAAATTACAGGGATCCACAGTGGGTGATGATGAATTTCCATTTCGGAAACACTGGCTGACTGCGTAGAGTACCCACCCCACCTTTTTCTCAGCAAGCTTGCCTTGTGTGGCTTGAGAACTAAATAGAGCTGTGGGGATGAAAGGAGCATAACTTTGTAAAGATAATTTTGCCGATCACAATTTCATTGTATTGCTGCCCAAGTGGACTCTTACTGTACGTCTATATTTGCATTTTTCTTTTACACATAAATACATACAGTACAATATTTGAACATACTGAGGATAGTGATTTTAGATATGATTTAGAATGCATTCAGCACATAAACATTTGTACAAGTGTGTTTCAATACATAAAGGCACAAAGACCTATAAAACTTGTACTTGTTATTTATTATTTAGTTGCTGATAGTGTTCCATAATCACAGCACTGCCCTTTTCTCAAATAATCCCCAACGTCTCACCTCACTGTGTGTTTTTTAAAATCCCCATGCTTTAGGTTGATAGAGTTCATTGCAAAAACTCTACCTGTTTGTAAGCTTTACACTCAGTTGTCCTCATTTTGTGTTTCATTTTCTTTCACTCATATTTTTTATCTCACCTGCCCTCCTTCAGACAAATATAAATACAGTCTTATCCTTCATTAAACAGTTTGTTAGAAGTGCCATCGTATTTGAACCAAAACAAGTGACCCCTGTCTTCAAACAAAATTGACCTCAGCAAAGAAAACTTTAGTAATATAGTCAGCTAAAGTGTCTACTTTCTGAGACCCTCCTCATAGTGGTGTTAGTGCCGTGTCAGCTCCTTTGTACATTACATACAAGAAGTGGCTGGCAGCAGTGAATGCCATCGTATGGCATGTAAAATAGCACTACTTAAAATTGAATCACTTTAAACATAAACTCCAGTGCCTTAGGATATCACTTCAGAATAAATCAGTCCAGAATGTGAGAGAAAACAACGGGGAAAAAACCCATAAGCAAATGACTAAACCATGAAAAGAACACAGTGTGGAAGACTGTAAGCCGTTTGCGTAACCCAGGGATCACAACAACAGTCTAACTACAATGGCAGGGCAGATTCCTGATCTGTTCCCACAGGGCGCATCCCTTCAAGAACAATGGTAATACTTGCAAACGACTCAAAGTAATTTGAAAGTCAGTGGAGGAATTTCACTGACTACCCAGTAATAATTGGAAGGCTGCTTTTTCATCTTTGTAACTCATCAATGAGAATTTTTGTTATTGATAATAACCTTCCACTAGAAGGTGAAGTAGTGCAGGATAATAAAAAAGGGAACAAATAATCAGAACCTTAATCAATAGCTAACATTTTGCAATTTGGGGCATAGGATTTATCAGGGCTTTAAGCATTGAATTGCTAGCCATGTGCCTAAAGGCTATAAACATTGAATTGCCTGCTGATACTATGGGTTTTTTTATCTACAATATTTTCAGGTTAGCCATATTACAATAATATGTATAGCTATGATTCCCAGCAACTCATTAACATTAAAAATGTTAATCAATTTGTACAGAAATAATTTACCTCTGCCTCTGTTTATACTTTATAAAATATAAATGTACAATATATAATAATTTTATAACTTTATATAATAATTCACCTCTGTTGAATACACAGAAAAATCCACCAGATTATATGTGTAATTTGATAGACTTATATCCAAAAAGAAGACAGTTTCTTGTTGTAGAACACACCGTTTAAGGAAAAAGTCAATGGTGGGAAGCAGATAAAGCCTTCATGATCATGAACTAAAGGTAACCCCACTGGTCATCCAGGGAGCCTTCTCAAACACTTTGATCAGTCAATCGATCAATCATTCCAGTTCAGAGGTGTATGATATGGGATTCAGGAGTACAAACAAGCAGGGTGACACAGCAATACGCAGGGACCATTGTGCTAAGAACAGTTACATCTCACAGTGCTTTACTGCTCAGGACAGTAAAATGTGAGGCTTCACAAGCGATCTCCTTGCTCATTCTGGCAGCCTATTTGCTATTTTTAAAGAAAGGTTTTGTCCATTCTCCAGCAACAGAAGCCCAAGATTAATCATTAAATTGTTTGCAGGCTCAAGCTGTATTGCCTGGCAGGAGAATATGGAAAACTGTTGGGAGATTTTCACAGACTAAGGCTCAATGAGGAATTAATGCAGTTCATTTAATCTTTTGTGGCAGGATAGTATCATTTACAGTATATCAGAGCCCCTGCAGACAGACACTAGGGGGAGCTCATCACAGTTACCTGATTCCCTTTGGAAACTGATCCTACACTGATCCTATTAAGTGTGTGCCTTGTATGATTATGTGCCAATCAATCGACCATATTGCATAATTATAGATGCAGTCTGATTCTTTTCTTTGAAACAGTTATTTAGTCTACATTCAAAACATGGGCATGTGTGGCAGTGAATTAAAAAAGAGCAAATAATTTCAGGTTTCAATATGAGTATGAAGTTCATGAGTATCAAGTCTGAACAGCTGCTGTATGATTCTTATCCCTGCTCACTACTGTAATCACCAGGCCACAAAGAACAGCCCCAAAGTTGACGAGACTTGGGACTGGTAGGGAGCCAAAAAAAATAAGCAAAAAAAATCAGGCTTATTGAGTCGGGTGGAGCTGCTTATTGTGTCGGGTGGAGCTGCTTATTGTTACCGTAAATTTCATTTTGACTTCACTTAGGGATAGGCCTAGGAAGTGGTCTTTCAAGGGCAGACATTTCCTTCCTAATTCGCTATTAATGATGTTTGAGCAGCTTGGAGAGCCACAAAACAAAGTGGGAAAGGGGTGGGATTTGGAAAGGTGGGGGGGGCCTTAGTCCGTAGCATACGTTTTGTGTTTTCTTTAAATTAAGAGCCGATATTCTAATGGAATAAAATCGTTCATAGCATTGGGCACAGCGGTGAACATCTCGGGTGGGGCACTGTGGTTGTATCCTCGAGGGAGGTATTTCATTCAAAGTAAAAACGCTCAGCCGTAAAAATGGGTAAAAGTTTGACTAATAAATGAATGCTTACTATGGCCAGCTAAGCAAATAATAGCTGGTGATGTAGTTATCACTGAGGAAACAGCTTATTTGTAAAATAAATATGTGTTTAACAAAGACAGAACATAATCTTGGAATTCGAATTTTGGCTTACTGGAGCCATGTTGTGACGTAAGTAGAATATAGTGAAAACATTTCTCAGAGACACGCAACAGCGGTATATTCAATACATTTTACATACATAAGTATATTGTCGTATATCTGTTTTCATGTAATGATATGTCAGTTACTGGTCTTTTTAGGGGTTATGCGCATGCATTTTATATTTATTCTTAAAACTTTATTTAGGACGTTGAAAGTCCTGCTATATTCCGCGTTATAACAACACTTGATCCGCTGTTGGCCGTGACCAGAGCAGCTTTCTGGAAGAGCTGCGCTGCTGGGAATTTGACGCGCGCGACACAGCGCCACTGCACTGTCCGAGCTCGGCGAGAGGAGGCGGCACCGACCGCGCCGTCAGGGGGGGATACTGTACACACACACAAGGCACACGCAGGCGAAGAAAATGTCATGCAAGCCTTGAATACAGGCGGCGTGCGAGGCTGCTGCTGAATATCCGCCCCGGGTTAAACGCTCTGGCCTTTCTGTTTTTGGATCGGGTCGGCTCTTAAAACATGCTCGTGCGAGTCAGGGAAGCCGGCGTCCTTCACTCTCTCAAATCCGCAAGAAACCAACTGGGGAGTTCGTGTGTTCCTGCGTGCCTTCCAGTTTATCGTCGAGGTGGCAATGTGCAGTAAGGACCGTGTTCTGGAGGCTGTGAAATTACAGCCTCTGCGACTGTAATACACAGAGTGTAGTAGAAAAGGCTGGGGGGTGGGTGGGGGGGACAGAAACTGGAGACAGCGCAGAGCAAATACGGAACCGGCGTCTTTCTGTGTCTGTATGCGTTTATATCCGATATCAGGCATTATCTGTGTCTGCGACCCTCGCTGAAAAGACTACAAACTAAGTGAGGTTACTACACGCTGCGAAGGATGCAGGTGAAAAAACAGAGGTCCGCTGATCGTAGCGCCGGGGACATTCAACGAGATGACAGCCAGAAAAAGTCGTCGTGTTTCTCCAACATAAAGATATTCCTAGTATCGGAATGCGCCTTGATGTTGGCGCAGGGTACAGTTGGCGCTTACCTGGTAAGTACGCCTTTTGCATAATCGTACAGTATAACTGTATATGCAGACCTTCATTTCAAAACCTGCTTGATTCCCTTTCCTCTTATAAAATACCGGTTTGATTAATTTATCTTCTCTTTCTGCCGCAGTCTTTCCTTGCGTTTTTTTATCTTGCCATTTGGGCAAAATGTAAACTTGAGCTCCATTTACGTTGTGTACCGGCACGGTAGGACGATGGTGAGGCTGCAACCACTGTCGAGCGACACTTAATAATGTACGCTAGTGGGAACTGCGCATCGAGAGAATAGGTTTTTAACAGGCACTGTGTGAAGGTGTAAAGGTTACTCGTCTCTTTTCAGTTGTATTTGAATCTGTTTTCCGTATTAAGCCATCCAGGAGTTCAACTGTATACGCAGTATGCGCTGAGCTTGGATTTGGATGAAGAGTGCGTCTCCATTAGCGATATGACAATATGCAAGTGAAATTCTTTACAGTACGTTGGATAATGCTGGCATCCTACGTTCTTGTTGGGAGCTTTTTGAGAAATGTACCTACGCTTGCCTGTAGCAGGATGTGTATAGTATCTTGTGTTTAGCCTGCTCTCCACACGTATGGGGTGCTCCAGAGCTTGCGAAGTGTTCGCCGTATTGAACACTGGCAACTCCGTGGACGGAACTGCGGAGGATGTCGAAAGGACGCACAGGTGACTGTTAGCACTCGGCATGCTGTCCTGATCAATTAGATCAAAAACAGATTCCCTTAAAATCGATTTTTGTTGTTCTTACACATTCAGACTTCCCATATCTCAGACGCGGACATTTACTGTTCAGGGCAGAACGGGGGAAGATGCTACTAACAAATTGATTAACCTCTTATTTTAATTGAGTTGTGGGAAACGAAAAATCCGTACAGCCTTTATCATTACTAAAGACAATGATGTAACTCGTAAGCAAGGTTGAAGAAAACTTAGGAATTGCATTCAAGCTTAATATAGGATACGTATAGATTATAACGCTATTTAAAAAGGGTTATTGGGAGACTACATTATTACTGTTCATTTCTGTAGATACCTAACTGTATATTAACTTCCAGGTAATGAAAATGTTATTAACGTTTGTGTTTCATATACTTCTACGGACCCTATAGTATCTGCTAAGATGATTTTCTAATGATCTCATGGATTTAGGTGTTGGCCTTCTACCTAAATGTTTTCATGGACACTTTTTGTAACATTAATATAAAACCGACATGAAAAACTATTCAGTTGTTATCACTGTACCGCCTAATTGCTGCCTGCTGCCTCGGAGAAGAGAGACCGTGTGGGATGTGCTCCTGCATTAATTTCTGAATGTAGGTTATTGGGTTTCAATTTGGACCCAAAAGAGCCATCCTGCATGCCTGTTTCTGTCCTAGAACGAGTGAAATGCCGATATATTACAAACACTATAGGCTCTTAGCTGAGATTGCTGAGAAAAGAGTCCTCAATCGAACATAAAAGTCAGCTACTGTAACTTTTCCCCGACAGTCGAAGCTGTTGTTACGGGTTACTGAACTCATGGGTTGTGTGGTTTTATTAGCACTTTAAAAAGTGAAACAAAATAAAATGGCCACAGAGAAGTAGCTCTAAAAACATTATCTCTACGTTATAATAGTTTAATGATACAGTACATTGTAGTGGCTTGAGGCCTAGAGCTTGTTTCATGGTATGAGAGGAAAAGACTTGTCCGCCACAGTGATTTTCTTATGAACAAGCGAAGGCATGAATGAATTTGCAGCCTTTAAAGACAAGATGACAGCCAAAAAAAGTTGTCGTGTTTCTCCAACATTTCCAGTATCAGAATGCGCCTTGATGTTGGCGCAGGGTACAGTTGCGTCTTTAATCGCTGCTACATAGATCAAGTAATATCCCTGCAGCTCCCTGGGGAAATCAGTGATCCTTAGCTGAAAGGCACTGGCCACCTTTGGAGCAAAAAGCATCAGTTGTTCTGTGCCACCACACCACACAACCTCTAAACTATGGGAAAAGAGATTTGATGCTAAGAAACTGACTTTTGAGTGGAAGACAGAACAACCACATTTTTTTTACTTTCTTCAGTTTGCAGTCCTCCAGCTTTCGAAGGAGATGTTAAGATCTGTTTGCTTTAACTTCTAGGCCATTCTGATAAAGACACTGATTTTGTCTCTGTGCTGCTTTTTATTTTATTTTTTTTCTTTCCTCACCTCACAGCTGGTGAATTGAATTTCTTGCTCAGAGTATCCTCTGAGAGGCAGCTAGGCAGATCTTGTTTGGGTGTTTCTCTCAAGAGTGAGACCAATGATACGGAGTAGCAAAGTACAACCCTGGACCCCATGTGTGTGGTGGATTGGTGACCTGATAGGTGGAGAACTCCTTCGATAGAGGTCGCCGTCGTGACTGAAAAGCCAGACACTTGATAAATTCATGAAGGCTTGTGATCTTGCCCTGTTTTCTGGGTGACAGTGCGTGACTCACTTGCCTCTGTCATTCAAACATTAGCAGGTTTTCACAGATTCTAGAGGCAAATATTCTGAGCGTGAAGCATGCATGGTTTTCAAGGACATTCAGAAATACCCCTCAGCGCTACTTGCAGGTGTACATTTAAGAGAGGATTCGTTCGTGTGTTTGCAAAATGACTTGATCGCCTCCGTTTACAGAGGCTCGAGTGGGGAGCTACTGTATGTGGCGTACGAGCTGCAAAGAAACAAGACCAAAGCCAAAAATTAATAAAGAAAAAACACCTGATTAAGGCTCCACAGCCCAGTCTTTGTGTTTTGTCTTCTTTCTTTTTAGTTCTCCAACTTCTGGGTTCTCCTTTGCATATTTCAATATGATTCAAGTTGTCTGTGCCTGATATAGAAAACATGAGATCATTGTTGAGTAGCTAATAATTGTCTGTGCTCAGAGTATTTGAACATTTGAGTTTAAATTTACTTTCAAAAATTGCCCTTGGTTCAGTATTTTTTGTATTCATGTACAGTGTGGCACTTTTTTACATTTTCAGCAGCCCTTATGGTCTGCCTGAAGACAAGCACTGCGATATTGTAAAGTAAATGAGTTCAGCTAGCACGAGTATTAGTAGCCTTCGAGATGGGTACTTCTCAGACAGTAAATTTAGGAGCATTTTTTTTAAAAGTTCTGTTTTGCTGTCATGGTCTTTGCTTGTCTCTGTTTTGGAACATGCCAGGCACTGAGAACAGCCGAACTGATCATTTATAATCATAAGACACATCTGGCTGCCTGCGTCTGTTCGGTTGCAAACATAATATATGACAGAAGGAGTTCTTATTTTGTCGTTCTGGTTTAAAAAGTATTAGAGTTTTTAAATCATGTGGTTGCGGAAATGCATGTTGTTGATGAAATAAATCATGATATGTTGAAATTAGATGCACTGGAAAACACTACTTAAAAGCAGAACAGCAAGACGTGTTGACATTGTTGTTCTGAGTTTTTCTCTTCTGCATAAACATGGATATAATTTCAGAGGTCTTCCTAGACTTTCATTTCAATAATATTCTTGCATGTAATAGGTTTTAGAAATCTGGCTTTCCATCCCTTTTAGAGTTTGTCAGATTCATTAAAAACAGCCAGCAACCTCTAGAATTTCTTTCTGTCATTTAATTGAAGGTGAAATTCCTCTACAAGTCCTTAAATGTCGCTAGACAGCGGTAGCCTCTGCATTTACAGGCAAAATCTGTGCAGACTTTTCCCCAGAGGAAAGGAACAGCTTTTGTGTGCACCGTATATACTATACAAACAACATAACCACACACATATTAGCTTTTCTTGAAAGAAATGATTCCTAGCTAATGAAGGTCTCATTGTGTGTCTCTGAACATTTACTGTAAAGCAGAATTACTGTACAGGTTCCCTCCAGTCCCCCCACACTGACTCATCTCTGGAGCCAACAGCTTCAGGCCTGACATTGCCATCATTCTTCCGCACTGTGTCATTAAACTATGAATATCGTGCAGCATGAATAATGCGGAAAGAGACGGGCTGGGGTGTTTGAACAGTGCAGACTAGCATTGCATTTATACCTCATGTTTATTTCCCAGCTCCCAGCTTTCTGTTAATGGAAACTTTCAGCCTTCTGTTTCTGCCACCAGTATCAGCAAGGGACTTGTCTGGGCATCTTGGTGGTTTTCTGCCTGGGAATTTTCTCGGTGGTTTAAGAAGAAATGTTGAAATGTATGGCTGTAAGCCTATATTTCACACATGATAAATAACTAAACATCGGCCTCATACCTGCCCCTACCTTGTCAAACTTGAATGGCCTCTTCTTCTCTTCTTATGTTCTTCTCTAGTCGTCTGTGCGGCTGGGACATTGTTTTTCTGTATCCTGGGAAATTTGCGAACACTTTCTCAGAGATGTGATAACCTGGACAGGTGGGATGATTTATTTGGCATTTTGTGAAACAGTTAGATCTTCTTTCCACAGATGACTAATACAGAGAGAGTGTAATACAAGGACTAAGGAACAAGTAAAGGTTTATTCCACGCTGAAAAGAAAAATAAATAAATAAAAATTTCGGCTGTGGAGTCTTCTTCAGGCGACACCTTAAGAATAAACCATGGAATAAGCCTTTACTTGTTCCTTTGCAGCCTCTGCATGCTGACGTAGCTACCCACTTGAACGTATACAAGGATTAAGGTTTGTTTTGCAAATTCAGGTCCTTCAGAGTTCCTGCGCTTGCCTACTCAATAGACACCTAAGGCTAGCCAACCTGAGCCTGCATGTGGGTCAGCCTGTTTCTCCCATTCAAATAACACCCGCCCGGTTTGCATTCCCTGAACCTGGGAGAGCTCTGCGGGGAACCCAGTGACCTTGTGAGAACCTTCATGGCAGTCCTTGCTCTCTGCCCCAGACAATGGGAGGAAAGCAATAGCAATGCCAAACAAAATGATACACAATACATAGTTAAAAGCACAGAATTTAAATCAAGCGATGTTATGTTTACTTTTTATAAGACTCAAACAAGGCCTCCTTCAGAATATTGTGTGC